TTTAAGCCTTCAGAACAAAACAGGTTGTTACAAGGATCTTTCTGCCATTGACAGAAAACTGGTTTTGTACACACAAACGCATACTAGTTCTCTTGCATTATACATTAATATCATTAAGTAAACCTAGCCATGGAAATCCATAATTCTCCTGTTATTAAAATCATATGAAACAAAATCTTGTAATATAGCACATATTCCACAATAAACAAATTGGCACGCAGTGGCTGCTATGCATCGTAAGCAATCCTGTGATAAAGTAAATAGATCTACCTTGGCTCTACCACAAAATTAATCAATAATAGTATCTGAGCTAATGAAACAGCAACTTGTAAAAACCAGTGTTTCCCATCAGCTTTTATGAAACATGATTAATTTCTATGCATTAAACTGTATTACCAAGGAGGGAAATCATTAAGCATCTTTCAGCTACCCCTCGTTGATAGTAATAAGAAAAGAGTTGTTGTTTCTGAAGCTATTCCAGTCCATGGAATTTTTATAAATCCAATTACTTGGATGGGAGAGGAATATTCAAAACACTTATAAACCCTTGCATATTCCTGCTATTCTTCTCACAGGCACCAGGGAGCCTTTATAAACAGCTGAAATCAAGTCTTTGCTGAAAAGTAGTTATGCACAGTCTCAAATGCTTTGCTTGACGGATGGCAAAATTCATGGGCATTCTGTTTTAAATTCATTGCAGTTGACACAAATGATCTCCTGGTAAAGGAAAAGGGTAAGATTGCTAGTCTAGCACTGTCAAGCCCATAGAGGAAGGATGCCAGCAAGTAGTGTTCCATGGTCAGCTCAAAATCCTTAAAAAACAGTTTTAGAAACAAAATTTTGACTCTGTGACTTCTCTTTTCTAATCTGAAAAGGGGATGAGCATGGAAAGCAGTGTGGGGGAAAGTGTGTTTGCCTAAGAAGTTAATAAAGAAAAAAGGGCACTGATGAGGAAGTCAGAAAGACATGGATTTGAAATATTTTTCCCTCTGAAACATAAACAGAACCTGTATATGCTGAGCCTGAGCTGAAGAGAAAATGAATTAGTCATTGCACCTGCAATTGCCAAAGAAAATCTGCCAAATGCTGAATAAGATAACCTGTTTCTTTTTTATTTCTAAAATCTGGCTTCCAATAAAATCCTTCCCTCAAGGCAGAGTAGATGATCCAGCAAGGCTCTGGAGAGTGGCTGAAGAGTTGTGATGTTCAGCCACAGACTCAGTACTCAGAATGGCCAGAGGCTGGCCCAGGACTGAGCCAAGAGGTAGCTAGGCGGGTAAGGATGACTCAAAGAGATGCGTAAAGCAATGTCATTCCACTTGAGACATGAAGATCCACAACACTTCACACTCTAAGCTATTTTGCAGCAAAGACATTTCAAGATCCTTACAGTGATTGCTATATAATTCTAGCCCCAATTTAGGCAAAGGAAAACAAAGCCAGTGAGGTTAAAAGCATTTGTCAAGAAAGTGGTCCCAGTGGTAGAACAGGAAAAGACATCCCAGTCCACATCTTCATCTCGCCGAGGTCCATGAGTTTTGCTGCTATCTTCACCAGACTCACTCTTTCACAAGAAAGTGTTCCCATTTTCACACTTTTTCTCAGTTATTTGTGCCTTTCATCTTAAAAGATACAAAACAATAGCAAAACCTAACCCTCATCTCTGAAAACTAATTTATTAAATGGAAGAGTGATTATCACTAATCTCAAGTATCCTAGAAGTTTGTTTAAAGCCAAAAGATATTAGGAAGATTATATTTCATTATTAACATTGAGACACTTAGTATGCATTTGGAACTTGTAGAGGAAATCAACATATTTTTCCTGGGATGCTATTACAGAAGCTTACCAGCTGAGGGCAAGTCAGGCATTCCTCACCAGGACAAATATACATGGACACAGATGAAATGTCTCAATGAGTAATCCCTGGCCCAGGGATAATCTGATTTCTAAGGTGCAGCTTGCTTTTTTTATTTGGGCCCCTCATATCTATTTACTCTCAGGTAGGAGAAGGTGGTTAGCAGGTATTCAGCTCCTTCTTTGGTCCCAGGCTTAAATTAATAGGAAAAGGCAATGCAGCTTTTCTAATTTTCCTTATTGAGACTAATTAAAAAAGTCATCTCTTAATAAGGCAATTAATATTTAGATCCATCTCCTTTGAATTAAATTGATATCACATAAACTAACCTAATTAACACCTGAGGAGAACAAAGAATGATTCAGAATTATTTATTTTATTTCATATTATTTAAAAAAGCATATGTAACTATACTCTTGCCTCCTGATGGCGAGAGTAATAACTGAAAAAGTATAATTTTTGCCTGGAAAAGGGCATTTGCCCAAATGAAGCAAAAAATCTCCACTGCTTTTATCTATTTCTATACAACAGAAGGTTGTTTAAAATAAACTGAATGTAATACTATCAGGAGGGAATGTGTCACCCTTTGGAAAACAAAACATGAAGTGCATGAAGAAGATTATTACAGCAAGTCTGTTTTTTGTAGGACAGTTCTTTAAATTGTAGAGATTTCTCTGCAGGGATGGCTTCTGAACTTTTCAGTGCTGGCAGGTGCACGGTTTTCTCTTTCTATTAAAATATCCAGAAATTTGAGAATCCTGTCCAATACTCAGAGGGTACCATTTCCAAAGCACCTGAACATCTGTTCTAGTGCAAAATTCACACACTTGCAGTCAAAGTTTCCTCCCCATTGACTATGCTGTCTTCATCTTCCAATTTGACAGCTTCAGTAAAAGATTTTATACAAGCCTTACTTTGGTGGGGAACATGGAGTTGTAATCACATGAATTTTGCTGTTATAACTCCAGTTAACAGTATGACACCACTATGAATTTTTTCTCATGCCACACATTGACAGCTAAAGTTGCATTGTTTTATCATTGTTAGCATAGGAATAGCAATGCAAAAGGTACCACAGAACAGCAAACAACCCAAACACTGCACATATAGACTGAGCAACACTCGAGGAAAGCCATCTTATTTCATACGTGTTTGTCAAACAGGTGCCGAATTCTTAACTTAGGTAAATAAACTCATAAAGTTTACAGTCTAGCCCTCACTGAAGCTTTATGTCCAAACATGTAGGCTCTGGACCTCTCTGAGGAAAGCTCACAGTGGTGTAGCTGCAGCAGTCTCACTGGTTCACAGTGCAGCTAATTCTAGTCTGTACTTTCCTTCAGTAGAACTATCATGCCAGCAGAGGTGCTTATTTCTCATGCTTGAGATAGAAGCAGGCCAGCAGCTGGGCAGAATTCAAAGGCTAGCACTCCTATGACTAAGTACTATGCTCTGCAAAATGAAGTCCTTGGATATTTTGTCCTTCTGACCTCTGCTTATGCAGAGACGAGCCAGCAAGTGGAGCCTCAATCACTCCATGATTCCTTTCCATTTACCTCATCAATAAGCCCCTTAAGTCATGTGCCATCTCTCTTCTTTATACTGAATACTGAGGAGAATGAAGCTCTATGAGCTTAAAATAAACCTTTTCCTTCAAATACTCTCACCAGGATCAAAGGTAGCTGCGGATCTAGGGGAGGAGTCTTGGAATGACAGCTCTTTGTACTACCCATATACACATCTAACTTTCTGTTCTGCTGAAGGTCAAGTTTGTTGCACTGTATGACTCACAGGATCTAAATATGAAAATATGATAATATTGTTTGCAGGTATGCAATAATAATTCTCTTTCTTGCCAGACTGTGATGTGTGTATTTAATTATATTCATGCAAAGATTCTGGTTTAAAAAAATATTACGAGTCATTCTCTTCCCTTATGTGGATCTATAGAACTTCAGCCAAAATTGTGATGTACAGTGATTAATATAATACAATGTTTGGGACTATGATTGGCCTCCAATGTATCACAGTTCTCTTCTGAATTTTAAAGACCACAGTCTTAGTTTTATTTTATTCTTGATGGCTTCTTATTTAAACAATCTTTAAGACATAGTTTATTGTCTTGAAGACAATAGATTTTGCTCTATCAAATATTATTATTCTGTAAGTATTTAGCACAGTTAGAAGTAACAAAGCAGAATTACCAAACAATTTCATAGTGATAATCATCATACCATTTCAAAGCAACAAATATCTAGGGAAGATCTTGGACCAGCTGTTGGTGATATTTACCAGAAGGATCACCTAATAGGAAGAGCAATACAGAACAAAACCACCATTGCCAAAGGGGGCACATGGCAAGCAAAGTTAATTCCTTCTCTAGGATACATAATCTGCCATCATATTTCCTTCAAGTCACCGGCAGTATTGTTCTTCAAAATTCTGGCCTGCTATTCATTATTAGAAAAAAACCCACTCCTGCTCCCAGGCCCTCAGTTTGAAATCTAATATAATAAAACACAACTACGTAGGTATCTGAATAATACACTTGTAATTATAGGCATACACATACATACATACATATAAATACTTCCAGCTTGTTCTGAAGCATCTGCATGTTTGTTTTATGCAACAGGACTGACAGATCAATGTAAAAATGTGTCTGCACTTGTTAGAAGAATACACACTGCTCCAATACTATTCAGTCACCAGTAAGGAAATCCTCACATAAGAAGGAAAATAAATATTACTCTCCATTATTTATCAGATTTCTGCTATAGGCTTAATAATTAAAATATTTCCCCCTTTCCAAATTAAGACTATGCCAGGAATAAGGGTCAATAAGATAATGTAATTTGCTTTATTATATTTCCAAAATATTATATTAATTCATTTCATGAGAGATACTTCCACACTTAGCATTATCACACTTTTTTCCAGATATCAAAATGGTCATTATCATCTTAACACTTTGCTGAAAATTTATAAATAAATTCCTTTTACCATTTTTTAATTTATGGGAAATTTCGCCATTTACCGGGTTATGTAAGAGACAAAGTATGGTTAAAATTTGCTGTGAACCTATGTGCAAGGCTTTTAATATGTCTCCATTTGGGCAAGTCAAGAACATATTGAAAATACCTACCTGGAATCGATAAAAGGTGCCATCATCCTTCAGTGTTAGAACATGGTCTGAGATTGGAAAGAAATAGCCATGTGCTGCCATCAGTGTTCCTAAATGTAGAGCTTCCACTGTTTGAAGAAAAAAGAAAGATAAACTTTAAAAGTGAAATAACTTCTTTTCAGCAGTTTAGTTTTGTTGTTAAGATTCACCTGATCTCCTGCAGATAACCACTTTGTTCTCAGTCAAAGACTTGCCATCATGAAAGACCTGTCTTTTTCTATGTAATATAACGACACAACCAAAAAAACCCCTGTACTTTCCTTCACAAATAACTTTAAAATGTCCCATTTGCAGCTGCAGCTCCACTACTTATATCAGCATTAGCAGGTAGCTACCTCAGTGTTCACTCACTTGTTCTGAAGCTAAAAACAGCCCTCATTTTTACTCTGATGGTGCAGCCTACTTTTATTCTTTAAAACAGTTTCTGATTACATGTTAAAATAGTTGATTCCAATTACATGATATCGTCCTCACTAGCTTTATCAGAGCTACTCTAAAGGGGAGAGATTTCCTTAAAAGTTTCTCATTACTGGGAAAATAACAAAGAAACATAGGATACCAGAACAGTTGAGGTTGGAAGGGACCTCTGGAGGTCATCTCATACTTGCTCAAGCAGAGACACCTTGAACTGCTTGCTGAGGAACATGTCCAAGTGTTTTCTGTATAGCTCAAAGGAGTGAGACTCCACAACCTCTCTGGGCAACCTGCACTAGTGTTCAGTCATCCTCACGGTAAAAAAGTGTTTCCTGATGCTCAGTGGGATCCTCCTGTGTTTCAGTTTGTGCCCATTGACTCTTGTCCTATCACTGGGCAACACTGAATAGAGACTGGCTCCAACTTTTCTACATGCTCCCATCAGGTATTTATACATATAGATAAGTTTCCACCTGAGCCTTCTCTTCTCTAGACTGAACAGAATCTTTTCTCATACAAGAGATGCTCCAGGCCCTTAAACATCTTTGTAGCCCTCTCTTGGAGTCCCTTCAGTGTGTGCATATCTCTCTTGTGGTGACAAGTCCAGAACTGGACACATAGAGGACAAATTCAATTCACTTTAATAAAAAAATTCTAGTATGCAACAGTAAGGTTTATATGTGCTCCTGTATTTTCAGTGAATCACTGTCCAGTACCAGACCCTGAAGTCTTTAGCTCAGCATTGTCATTATTTGGCTGATAAAAACACAATGTTGGAAGAAAGAGAACTGCATTAGTTGGAGTCATGGTGTTGTTGCAGTATTTAAGTCCTTCTATCTCTTTACCATATTTCTTTACCAACCTTGTAACAACTCCAGTACAAGTCCTGAAAATATCTGTACAGCAATTTCTGCTTTACCATTTAAAATTTCCTGGCAAAATCCACTAATATCAGTCCACAACCACCAAAGCATTCTAATTTTGGAAGTTATATGATAAAGCCATCAGTTACAGGAGCTGGTGCTAGAGAGGACAACGCTGCTGCTGAACAACACCAGGAATGAGAAAATTTAGAAGACCAATAAAAAAACCATAATGAACACCTAAGGAGTAAGGGAAAGATGGGAAAGGGGAGGAAGAAAAAGGCAAAAAACAGAAGGAGAAAGACAAAACCAGCAAGATCTGCCTAAAAAAATTATTAAAATATGAAATCAGCATGAATCCATAAAGTATGCAGAATCAGTAAGGATGCATATTTGCAGTAAGAAAAACATGTTACACCACCACAAGTTACAGAGATTCATATTCATCTTCTAAGAAGTGCTTATTTCTTCCTATTGCCTTAATTTGGCTTTCAGCAATGGCAAGCATAAATATTGGAGCACAGCTTTGTCTCACCCTGCCTCTAAAAAACATTACTGCCTATCTGACTAGCAGTTACAGCATCATCAGGCAGAAAGAAATGTGAATCCTGATATCTGCGTTCTTGCTAACACAGAGAGTTTCACTTATGCTTCACCCACTGTTATTTTGAATATGAGAAGTAAACACAGGTTTATTCACTTACCCATACTTATCAGCATCCCAAAAAATTCCATCCTTCACTCTTTGCTCACCTGAAGACATTCACTGGCATAGGAGATACAGGAGAAGCAGTGGGACATCTTTAAACTAACCTAAAGCCAGCAAGCATGTGAAAGGAACAAGAAAGGGCATCTGGAAAGTACTTAGCTGAGATCACAAAACTCTACCAGGATTTATTTGATACCAAATAATTATTGCCATTTCTGTGTTTAGCAAACTGGTTCCTGTCCCTCCAGCAGAGCCATTACCTAAGAAAATACAACACACTCTCTCTGGTAGTGAGCTCTCTGGCCTGCTGTAAAATGCCACAATGCTATTAACAAGCCATTTCCCACTTGCAAGCCTATAAGGATTGTCTCTAACAGAAAAAGGTAGTTGCTTCACTCCTTGTGCTTGTGATGTCTGTAAATCCCCATGTGAACTTTGTCCTAATTATTATAAGTTCACATATTGTAGTTACTCATTCATTTCAAGCTGCTAAATTCTATTATTCCATGGATCAGAAATTTTGAGTCAATGCTTTCTCTAGTGAGTCAGTTGCTGAGGTTCTTTTTACTTTGGTTCACTTCATCTGCCTTTTAATTTTATTAAGCTTTTCTTTGTTCTTCACATTGGAACTTATTCCCAATTCCAAAAAACTTTATTTTTGCAGGTATTATGTATCTTCATGTGTGATAGGTTGACCTTGGCTAGACATCAGGTGCCCACCAAGCCACTCTATCACTCCCCTTCCCAGCCAGACAGAGGAGAGAGAGTAAGATGGAAAATGACACAGATTGAGATAAGGCAGTTTACTAAAGCCAAAGTTTACGTGTGCACAAAGTTTATTCTCTATTCCCATTAGCAAGTGGTGTTTGGCTACTTCCTGGGAAGTAGGGCTTTTAGTACACATGACAGTTTCTCAGCAGGTAGACATTGTAAACAACAAATGCCCCCCTTCCTCCTCCTTTCCTTAGCTTTTATATCTGAGCTGTCATATGGTGTGGGAATATCCCTTTAGTTAGTTTGGGTCAGATGGCCTACTTGTGTCCCCTCCCAGGATCTTGCTCTCGACTGGGGAAGGAATGTTACAGTGTAGATGCTGTGCCAGCACTGCTCAGCAGTAGCCCAAACACCAGTGTGTTATCAACACCTTTCCAGCTACCAATGCAAAGCATAGCACTGTGAGGACTGCTATGGGAAAATGAACTCCCATCTCAGCCAGACCCAATACATTGTGGAATGAGAGAAAAACAAAGGAAGAAATGTGCTGACATTTTTTAGAGAAAGGATTTCTTAGACAAGGGTGACAGGGCCTGCCAGGGAGCTCTGACGCAGATGAGAGTTCATTCTCTTTAGATTTAGCAGAAACTAAATAGGCTCCAGATTTGTTTCATGTTCTTCCTGGATTCTGCATTATAATATTTTTCAAGATCACAAGGAGCTCACATTATTGCCCTTTACCCAGCAATTTTTAGACCACATCTGGACTACCATGTCCAGTTATGAATCACATGTCCGTTCCAGCACAAGAAAGACATCAACAAACTCGGAGTGAGTCCAGTGGGAGTTCATCAAGATCACTGGGGCTGGAGAATGCACCCTATAAGGAGAGGCTGGAGGAGCTGGGCTAGGTCAGACCGAAAAAAAGAATGTTTTGGGTGTGTCTAGCAGTACCTTTCCAATGCCTAAAAGGAGATTTCAAAATGAGGGAGCCAAGAACTTTATGGAGTTGCATGGCAATAAAACTAACTAACATTGTCTAAACTAAATAGACAATGGTAATAAATCAAATCAGGGATAGTTGTTACTTTCAGCCAAGCAGCAGGAGAGGCTGCCCAGAGACACTGTGCAATCTTCATCCTTGGAGGGTTTCAAGACCTGAACAGATAAAGTCCTGGGCAAAACGTTTGAGCTTACACTTGACACTAATTTGAGTAAGGGGTTGAATTAGAGTCCTCCTGAAGTCCCTCTCAACCTGAATTATATTACTACTCTGTGACTCTAGATGGTCAAGCAGAAGTGGAACAAAGAGCTTAAAAAAGGGATGAAGACAATTGGAGAAGAAATCATTTCAAAGCTCCTGCCAGAGCAGCCTATACTCCAGGCAAGGTTGGCTACAGTAGGAGTAAGAGCTTGTATTTCTCTCACTGACCACTGAGTCATAAACACAAGTACATATTCACTACTAGTTCTTTATGAAAAAATGGAAAGAGTGACCTGGCCTTTTTCAGAAGCCAATCAAGGTTATTTAAGGTTTAAATTTTTCCCAATAGCAGCCTACATCTCTTCTCAAGTTATGTATGGAGAGTAAGTTGGTTATACATTTACCTCAGGCAATCTCATTCAGCTAGAATGAATCCACACTAACTCAATGTTAAGGTGTATCTCTCTTCCTTTTAGCCACTAAGCATTAATATGGACATATAAACTTGTCACTTCTCTTTTTTTTTTCTTTAATTAATAGACAATTAGTTTTCATTTTTTTATGGCTATCAATCCATCAACTTTGTCCAGCATCACATACATATAAATGTACAAATATACCCTTTTAGTATCAACCTAAGATCCACTGTAGCTCATCCTTTGAGGGTTACAAAATTATACCTGGTGAATTATGTCCACAAGACTGTATGTCTGCCTCACACCAGGCTGCTAGAGAACTAATGCTGCTGCTCTTTGTGCAGTAGCAGTAGAATTACAACACAGAAAGAAAACTCAGCTCTTGGGATGTTTCTAATCTCTGAGCAAGAGGTTGTCCAGTGTATTACAGACACAACAAAGGCATCACTTTGATATACATCTCAATTTGCTAAAATCAGACTGAAAAATTACTGTGTGAAGCCAATGAAGTAGAACAGTAGGATTTAGGAAACAAAACCCTGAGCTTGAAAAAGAAAATGGAGCCAGCAGCAGACTAATCCAACATGCCTAAATTCTTAGAATTTAAATTCAGACAGCTTCTGTATCCCCCAGCTATTCCTGCATGTGAAGTTAGAGGATTTTCACTTAAGAAGCACATTTCATCTGCAAAAATGGCACATGTAGATTAGGAACATCAAAAATTTCTATGAAGTGGATTAGTTAAAAA